TCTTTGTAATATACGGAAAATATTCGTGAATATGAAAGGATTATGATAAAAATACGCAGACATAATGTTTGTAATTTATTTAATCAGACATGCCTAAAAGTGAATTTGATGAAACTTTCAATGTATAATGTTCTTACATGTGTGTAGAAGAAGTGGACAATGAAGAGGTTTAGTTTTTTTAATTGCTTTTGTCATGATGAGGCAATAGACAAATTGACTTACATATATAACCCCACATATAAAATGGAATATAAAGTATATTTTGAAAGCAAGTATTCATCCAAATAAATTTTGATAAATTCACCCGACAACACCTGTTTCATATATATATATATATATATATATATATATATATATATATATATATATATAGGGTGTCCCAAAATAATGTATACACTTCTTGAATCATTATAACTTATTCAATTCATGTATTTTTTGTAAATAATATTAATACAAGAGAAAGGATACACATTTAAAGAATAACGATAAAAAAAAATAAAATAAAAATAAAAAATAGATAAATAAATACTACGTTACTTAAAAATCGAAAACCGAAAAGAGAAAATATACAAGTAAAATAAATTGACCTAAATTCATCCAAGTAAATAAATAAACAAACCAATCCCGATAAAGTTACCGTTAGAAAAAACAAATAAAGATAATCAACCCAAATAAACACAAATTAAAAACTGTTCCTGCCAAAATAATAGTTAGAATAAACTACAACAATCAACCCCCAAACCGAACAAATAGCTTTAATTAAATTCTCAAACCAAAACAAAACTATTAAATAAGTGATATAAACAAACTTTTACTACGTTAATAAAAACACTGATTAAAAAATAAGTAAATAAATAAAATAAGAAACAAAAAATCAAATTAAATAAAAACAAGCAAAATAATTTAACCGAAATAAATAAATAAACGACTTCCGGTAAAATAACCGCCATAATAGACTACCGATAATGCACCACTGACCCGTATATATATAAATAGCCGAGAAAAATAACAGCACACGTGGCCTGACGATTGCATATAGCATGAAACAGACTGTCGCCTCTAAGTGTTGACTTCTATGTTCACTTTTATATTTACACACGCTCTATCTCTGATATTGAGCACTTTATCCCATAAATATAGCACACCTTAAGACTATATTTCTTCATATATATATATATATATATATATATATATATATATATATATATATATATATATATATATATATATGCAAAAGTAAATATACAGTATGAATTATGACAGTATTAACAGTATTATAGTATATATTCTAAGATTTATTTCTAGAATTCTTTTAATTCATTAAAATTATTTACATAATTTTTATTAGATATATTTATTATTAGAATTTTTAATTTTTTAACAAATATTAGTGAATGTTTTGCAGGTAAAGACAGGTGTGTGAATGACGGGGAGCAAACAGTTTGAACATTTGAGGTATTAATATGTTTATTATTGATTTTTTGGGGAAATTCTGCAAATACGTTTCTTCTTGATTTTCTTTTCTACTTTAAATTAAATCAATTAATTTCGCACAAAAAAGAGAGTTATATTGAATCCATAGTAATTTATACATGTCTCCCGAGAAAGGGGTTTCTGGCCACATCTTTGGTTATCTTGGTTGCCATGACGTCCGTCTGTAACTTCCACCCCATTTGTGATGTAAATTTCCACTTTGATAACTAGCTCTGACAGCGACGTGACAAAGTGCACCATTTTGTCGAAACACTGTATCTCCTGTCAACTGTATAATTTCGCCAACGAAACAATTCTACAACAGACCACATTTCGCTTTCGCTTCTGTTGAAGCCATAAGCGAATCTTAAATCAGCGTATAAAAGAATCAATAAAAAAAAAAAAACGTAGTATTAAAGTTAAACTAATAAACAAATCTAAACTTCGATAAAATAAATGAATCAGGTTTCTCAATACTCCTTAGAAATAGATTTTATCATCTACATAACTGAATTTATGTAAATTTAAAACTGCCCAACGATTTCAGAAGAGTTTCTGCGTCTGCATGTATTTATTTATATTTTTTTAATTATATAATTTTATAGCTAAAACAATATACCGGCAATGTGCTATTTCTATTCGGAGGATGCTTATATCTACTTTAGCTTATAGAAAATTGTAAACTCTATTTATAACGATGCAGTTGTCCAGACATTTACACTAACATAAAAGTCGGTAGCAGCTTCTACAGCTATTCCTCGATATATATAGAGGATATCACATTCACCTAGAGACATTTAGATATCTGATTATCTAATGCGTTGTTTGAAAAGCAGATAATATTAATTCAAATAAAGTGTGATCATATCTCGTCTAGGAAGTTCCGGGTGTAATTAGAGACGTGTTAGGACAAGAATTATTTTAGGAAAAAAAAAAATAGAAAAAGAAAAACGCTTAAATAACAACTTTGGTGGCCTCAGAAGGATGCGCAATCATTTCCCATTTGTATAATAATTCTTGTAAATACTAATTATCACTAAACTGTGTCATATTAGAGTCATTACGGTTGCCTGAGAAGAGTACGTATAGATCAACCAATTTTCTTTGTTTATTTCTTTTACTAAGAAATTAGGATTAGCAGTTAATGAAATTATCTCCATAAGACAAACTAATAGTCTGATTGAACTGGCAACTGCTTTACATTCGAATTTTGAGCATTTAATAGTGATATGCTAACAAAAATCGCGCTGTGATGTTTCGTTTTTTCTGTAGCAAAAAATATATATGCTCATCTGCATATATAAAATCTTATAAGTGCCGACGAGTGATTTCTGGAGGTCCGTCAGGATGATGTTGGTAACACCAATCAGTTTGGTAAAAATTTCATATTTGTATTAATTCTCTCTCTCCCCCACCTCTCTCTCCATATATATATATATATATATATATATATATATATTACATTATAAATGGACAAGGTCCGACAATTTATTTATTAAAGACATTTTTATGTTTAACGTTGTTATTTATAGATACAAGTATTTAAGCAAATGCTCTGTTTATGATAAATAGTATTAAATAACATTCAGGCTGGTAAATGTTAGTAAATGCATTTATTTAATACTGTATTTATAAATAACAACGTTAAATATAAAATGTCTTTAATAAAATATATATATATATATATATATATATATATATATATATATATATATGAGTAGCGTGGCCCGTGCTTGATTCAAAAAATCGTACGACTCATACAGCAATCGCTTTCACTTGACATAAAATATTTTTGCCCTTCCTTGCCTTTAAAGGAGTGCCCTTTGCCGTGCTGATGTTGCCACATGCCTTACTTCTTGCCTATCTCACACTGCGAATTTTTTCTAAGCTCTATACTAAATATTAAATCTGTTACGAAAAAAGAACTAAACAAAATGAACACAAAACGATCAGCTTTAAAAAAAAGTTAACGTAACTGGAAAAACCGAATGAAGAAAGAATGTTAACAACAAATACTTTTTCACACCCAACCCAGTTCTGCGGAATCAGCATCAACGTTGAGTTTAAGCAAGCGAATGAGCCAATTGGAGTAAAGTGCCATGCAGATTTAAATTATTCCCGCTTGTGACGAATGCAGCTATCGATTTTTTTGCATGCTAGCATGCTAGTTAACATTCGTGTCAGTCAGCTGTTGGCTCTCACGCTGGCCAGTTGAAAATGGCCGCAAACTACATGAAAACTGCCGTAGAAGCATGAAAAAATCAATTATTTCCACTATCGATGGGAGTTGGGAAATGCAAAGTCGGTCTTGACCTTCCCGCTAACTTGGAGCATGTTGGTGGAAATCCGTCGAAAATTGCGGCCGTGCATTCGTTACACACACACACACACACACACATACATCCTGCCTTATATATATATATATATATATATATATATATATATATATATATATATATATATACAATATATGCTCCTAGAAATTGAGTTTAAAAACAGCGGCATCTACTGCTATTAACATTACTCTTCAAGTACGAATTGAATTCTCCAGGTCGCTGGCGTATTTCATATAGAAGAAAAACGTTAAATTTCCCTTATTTTCCGATGTGTGACGATAGTCTCGGGGTAAGGTACCTGACCGATGCCAAATCAATCGGGTTTCGTTCCCAACTTGAAGCAATCAGACGTTTAGCAACACTGAGAAGCTGTAATGCAGCGAAACAGTCGTTTTGTGGATAACTATATATATATTAGTTTTAGTAACATATTTCTCTATCACCAAACGAATTTAGAGATGAATATATCTATTTTTCATCTATCTTGTGATTGCTTCATCTTGTTCACTTGAGAGCCGCTTCCCTCGCCCCTCGCATAATTTGTGATGGCATGCGTCTCGTTTCGACGTCTGTGGCCCCTAAGATGACTCTTGAGACCAGCATTCGATTTTGCAAGAATCTATATCCTTGATTTGGTTGGATCTATACGCCCTAAAACTCTCCTGTCTACCACCATGTGTCTCTTCAGTCCAGATGACGATCTGCAAACCTTGTTGCAAACAACACGGGTGTTGTCGGCAGGACGAAGAAGCAGTTTGGTATAGTTGATTTGCCTCTGATAGTTACGATGACCCTTCAGATTGTTTGCATAACCTGCTGTCTAGAACAACAATATTGAGTTTCTTATTTTGTTACGGCTTATCTACCCTATGCAGGTTATTTAAAGCCAGATGATATTTTAAAATTGTAAAAATATTTTTCGCGCCAATAATGCTTTAGTGACACAAATCTTACAAATTAAATAATATACACTACAAACATCTAAGCAAAAATAAGCGAAGATTTCTTTGTTGTTTTGTTATATAGGAATAAAGTGTCACTACTGACACTCGAGTTTGAACATAGATCGCCTGTGAGCAAACACAAGCGATGTCATTATTGAATTAAGTAGACCAAGTGGCCATAGAGGAAACACATACATGGGAAGTAGCGTGTGTCTAATTCATTACTATTTCTAGTCTATCCTCTATACTATACAGGTCGCCATTTCTACTCTATCACTATACGGATCACTAGTCGGTCGAGCGAATATTATCAAGCAAGTACTATTAGTGTGAGTGATATTCGAAGGCGTCTGACACCAGTATTGTTCAACGTCGTACTATATTTGTAATCTGCGATTACAAAGTCTCTACTACAGCGACGAAAGTGACAACGAGTGTTCAGTGACATCATAAAAGAGGCAACGAGTGTTCGTTGACATCAGAAAATGTCCCTACTCTTCCCTTATCTGATTTATATCCAAAAAGCTGAGAGGAGAAGAGATGATTTCATACCTCTCCCAAGGATTTTTGCGCGTAAGTCAATATAACAAACACAACTAGGATTAGAACTCAGTTCCCCGAATAGCAATCCTAAGAAATTACACCCCCCGTAGGTCCAAGATTACAACACCTGATATTCCCAAGCGGTCATCCATCTAGATACTGACCAGGATCAATGTTGCTTAACTTCGCTGATCTTACAGTGTTCCAACGTGATGTGACCGTAAGCCTTCATATTTTCAAGTCAATCAATATATTTGTCTCTGTGATGTCCATATAACATTTATTGATTTATTGAATATATATATATATATATATATATATATATATATATATACTATACACACACATATATATATATATATATATATGCAAGACTGCATTAGGAGTAGTTTTTTTGTGTGTATATATATATATATATATATATATATATATATATATATAATCCGGTGTTCTTATAGATATTTTTATTTTTACAAAATAGTGCTCAATGTAAATTTACAGAGCATTAATATTATAAATTAATTGATTTAAATTGATTTAAATTATATTTTTAAATCAATTAATTTATAATATATATATATATATATATATATATATATATATATATACACAAAAAAATTTTGGGGATAAAGTGTAATAAAATTATTGGTCTGATGATCCTTAAGTCCGTGAAACTCTTCCTAATGCAGTGTTGATTTCTGTGGCCACATTGTTATATATATATATATATATATATATATATATATATATATATATATATATATATATATGCATATATATGTGTGTGTGTTGATGTGTATGTACGTAAATTTTATATATGAACACACACACACACACCACACACACACACACACACACATACATTGAGCACTATTTTGTAAAAAAAAAAAAATATCTATAAGAACACCGGATTATATAACTTACTGTTCTTTTCTTTATATATATATATATATATATATACATACATATATATATATATATATATATATATATATATATATATATATATATATATATATATATATATATATATATATATATTCACGTATATATTTTTACATATGTACATATATAAATGTGCATCTAAATAGAAAAAACAAATAGGTAAAAAGGGCCTTAAAGAAAGTGATATTACTAATTTTGATAGATTTGATCAAAGCTTAAACAGATTCGTGGACGTGAGTCGACTCTAGATGGAGGCACATTATATGGGAGACAATGCAAAGCAATAACGATTTAATCCTACTTCGTGTGATTAGATATGTAAATAGAGTGAGGCAGACGAAAACATAAATGGTGAGTGTTCCAGCTTCATAAGTAGGCTTCCTGTCGCAGCCAACGGCAATATCGTCTCTCATCCAACTTGGCTGTCGGCTGTGGCCGTTGCCAACGACAACAGAAAAAGGGACAATAAACAACGCCGATTAGTGCACCGGCAATTTCCGTCATCAACATCACATTCGCTGTTATTTACATAAATAATCATTGCAAGGGCTTGATAATAATAATAATAATAATAATAATAATAATAATAATAATGATGATAAAATATGGCACGTGAGGGCATCAACAATTCCAGTCCTCGGTTTGACTGTAAAAGGTTTCGATAGACTCATTGAAGGGATACCTGTTAGCTCAAGCCTTACAGAAATACAAAACATTGTACTCATAAGTACTGCTCATACTTTACGGTCGGCTTTAACAATATAAAATGGAGGTGATATTAGTTTGTTTTGTGTTTTAAAAAAATGTTCAGTGGAAAATGCCATGATGCTGTTTCTCATCTTAGGTCTCTGGTTCGGAAAGAAATAAGTAGGCGCTAGATATCGAAGAACTAAAATGATAACGATAAATGTGCTTTCATATTGGCATGGCTATCACTGCAGATTGTAATGCATATTTGAAGATCTTCAAAAAACTATCAAAATACAGAGACCTTGAAGTGGAAATTTAAAAAAAGAAAATGTGGCACAATAAGGACATCAGTAATTCCAGTTATAGCTGGGGCACTCGGATTGACTGGAAAAGGTTTCGATAGACTCATTGAACGGATTCCTGGTAGCCCACGCCTTAAAAAAATAAAAAATGTGTTTGTGTATTTTAAATTGGTCATTGGAAAATGTCATAATGCCATTTCTGACCTTTGGCCTTTGGGTTGAAGCCAGAAATAAATGAGTGTACACCGGAAATCAAAGGAAATAATAATAATAATAATAATAATAATAATAATAATAATAATAATAATAATAATAATTGGAAGGTGGAATATAGGATAGGAAAAGAAGGGTTAATCATCGATCCCTCGTGTACTTTTCACCCAAGAATGGAGCAAAGCGGAAGAGTGATCACTAATGACAAATTGAAATTTGAACTTGCACGGCTTTGGAAGTTAAAGAAGGTCACAATCATATCAATTATTACTGGTGTGTTTGGTACAGTAACTGACAGAATAGATATATCGATAAAGAAAATTTACATTAATTGACGAGTGGAGTTTTTGTAGAAGTGGGGGCCTCTTAGAAACGGTAAAACAAAAATCCGGGGAGTGATGAACACTTAGAGTCAGAGAAAAAGTGCATGATACCTAATGTTGCTGGGTGTGGTTCGCTATCCATGCATTAATTACCAGATATTAAGATCTTATCTGAGAAAATACTCTTCCTCCTCCTCCTCCTCCTCCTCCTCCTACTACTACTACTACTACTACTACTACTACTACTACTACTACTACTAATAATGTCACTGATTGGGCTCAAGATGGTTTGCGAAATATAGAAAAACGCAGGAAATTATAGTCAGATACAGAAGCATGCACCCCCCCCAGGTAGACGTGGACAGAATTTATTAGAAGAGAAGAGAACGTGCAACGGACAGGGTTAGTGTTGAGGAAATGGTACTGATTAAAAGAAGCATTTGTTGTAAGTGAGGTAAAAAATGGAAACAATAATTGGTGGAAAGACTGACTCTGAAAAAACAAAGACTGAATTTGATATGAAAAACAAATCAAAGTTCATTCAGTTTCCGAGAGAAACAGGGTGTGGCAAAAGCTCAAGAAAACAACATGGACATGGGTCAGAAAAAGGTGGGGACATTGAGATTGTTAATGTCATCTCAAGGATCAGACATTGCCGACAATCTGGGTAACAGTGACAATTTTTGGTAAGGACAGCACTTCACTGTTGTGTCGAATGCATTTGAGACGTTCACTTCACTGTTGTGTAGAATTCATTGAGATGAGACTGTCGTATTGCATCCAAATGCACGTGTATGGCTCAGAATGAGGGTAAGAAATAAAAGAATGAGAAAGTTATTGTCATTATTCATTGGAGGTTGTCTAAAATGTATGGCTTTGTATATAGTAACATGTATAATGAATATATGATCACAAAATAGATGAAAAGTGGAATATTCCGATACAGACAGTAACAACTTTAGAGCAGATTAAGCCAGATTAACAACTGTAGAGCAGATTAAGCCAGATTTAGTCCTGCTGGATAAACAGAAAAAAAAAAAAGATTTGCTACTTGATCGAAGTCTCCTGCTCAAAAGACATGAAAATTGAATACAACATAAAGAGAAGCTCGACAACTATTAGGATTTAAAAAGTCTAAAATTCTGAAAGTTTAGGTAGGACTAGCAACGAAAGTAATTGCAGTACCGGTGATCTTAGGAGTATTGGGGTGTTTGTATAAAAAATATGGAAACAGCCTTGCAGACTTCGGAATTTGGTCTGGAAATAGAGCCATTAAAAAAGCATGCTTACTTGGAACAGCGAAGATAGTTCGGGAAAGTATTGGATAGAGCCGGTCAGTGAAAAGAACAAATGGCCGGTTTATTTTAATGTTATTTTATTAATATTTACTGCATACAAGGCCCAAGTGCCACTCAAGACAGAGTGCTGTTGTGTAGTGTTGTATGGGCGTAAGAAAAGGCAAGAAGTACAGTTCACGAGGTTATGCAGAAAAGATAACGGATAACTTTAGACTTCAAGATTGTAGTAAGCGGGAAATAATCCTACTTGGAGTCTGTTCTAAAAAGCAGGGGGCCATCAGAAGAAGCTGTCCGAGTGGAACGTCCTTCTTATTAATAGAATATGAAGGGAATGAAGACGATTCATCCTTGTGTTCGTGACATGGAGAGTCGCATCAGTAAAGATCAGGGCTGATCGAACCAAGGAATGCAGCTAAGTCACGAGAGGTCACCTGCAAATCATCTTCTTGTCAGTAACCAACATCATATATTATGACTACTACTACTACTATTACTACTATTACTACTACTACTACTACTACTACTACTACTAATAATAATAATAATAATGAAAACTGATTGGAGCTCTGAGCCTTGTGAGAAAAGAAATGGACAATTTTACTAGCAGTGTCCCAGGTAACATCGGCATACAAGTTGCCCAGAAGATCGCCCTACTAGGAACATCCCATGTACTAAGAAAAGTGCTATCAATTAGATGACAATTCTCCTAGAGGGCATAAGGACCATAGTTTGGACCCAGCTCTACAGGATAAAAAACAGGAAACATAATATACACAAATAATAAGAAGAAGAAGAAGAAAAGAAAAAAACAGTGTCTGACAGTGTTTCATCAGAATGCCTATCTTCTTCAAGATACAAACATTCTGTTGAAATATTGTTTAACATTGTCAAAAATCGTGTTTTTTCTTTCCTTTATCATTTCTTAAATCGCCTTCTTTTTGTAACTGTCGAAAAATATTGGAAGAGTAACGTCAATCATTTTGTTTGTAAATAATAATAATAATAATAATAATAATAATAATGATACAACACTTAGAGAAGAGCGTAATTTAAAAAAGCAAAAGAAAAGACAGCATAAATCCAATGGAAGTGTCATGTCATTCTGTTCATTCAACAATGTGACATCAATGGAGATTGCAGGACATTTTATTACAAACGACTGTAATTTTGATGAACACATTCTGTGGGGTACATTCTGAAAAAATATCCAGAATCTACCGACCATGCGACACGAGAATAGTTACGTATGCAAACTCTTAACTTCCCGCCCCGTCAGAATGAACAGATTGACAGGAGAGTTCCATAGGTTTTATACTAAGCTGTTTGATGAATTCCTCTTAGTAACTAATCAACTAACGGAAAATTCCAAGATGAGCAAAAGATCACCATCATATTACGCACGTTTTAGTTGCATGCCATTCACACTGGCGGCGTTTCTTTCGTTTTGACGCGTTGATTACCAGTACGTCCGTTTTTATCGAGACAAGCGACCTTTGTACAAACATTATAATTTTTGTACATCCTTCTTATATTGATATACTTGTATACAATTTTTAAACATAACTTGGAAAAGACAGACATACTTTCGGAATATTGTTAAATATTATCATACAATGTGTTATTTTCTTTTCTTAAATCATGCTCCTTTGAAAAATATTTTAAGAGTTACGTCAATCATTTCGTTTAATAATAATACAAATATTAATAATAATAATAATAACAACAACAACATTTTTATCTTAGCCAAAAAGCTGAATTTATTACAGTTTTTAATTCTCCCCACCCCATTTTGGGGGACAGTGTGTATTAATGGGTTTTAAGGTTGAAATCGAAAATTAATAATATGTATTTTTATAAAAGTTTATTTTTTAGAAACATATAATCAATACATATATATATATATATATATATATATATATATATATATATATATAATAATTAATACCGGATTTTACGATGGCTTAATATTTTTGCATCTAGAAGTTTGTTTTTTTTTAAATATGGCACCAAATCTTGTTACTTTTTATTACCGTACTTCGTAGCAACGAAGGTCGGATTGAATTTCAACCCGATCCTATCTTTATTTTATTGACTTCCTGTTCCGACATGAAAGGAAATGTCATCTGCTTCTCTACGGGTTTTAAATTTCTACAACTAGGATCATAATATCAAATTATGTTTTGTTTCAATTTTGCTTAACCATCGTTGGCATTATTATTATTATTATTTGTTTATATTATGTTCCCTGCTTTGTATCATGTAGTGCGAGGTTCAAACTATAGTTTTAGGCCTTATAAAAGAATTGTCATTTAATTGATAGCACTTTTCTTAGTACATGGGATGTTCCTAGTAGGGCGATCTTCTGGGCAACTTGTATGTTGATGTTACCTGGGATACTGTTAGTAAAATTGTCCATTCCTTTTCTCACGTGTGTTCTAGAGCTCCTGTTACTATTGATACAATCTCAGTCTTCATTCCCCACATCCTTTTAATCTCAATCTTCAGGTCCTTGTAATATAACATTTTCTCGATCATTTTCATGGAGGTGTTTCTCTCAGATGGTACTGCTATATCCATAAACATACAC